TTATTAAAAAGTTCTTGATTTTATCTGTATTTGAACATGAAAGGTCAATGTTTAGAAATTAATTTTCTTGGCTTACAGCTAGTCGAATTTTTTTTAAATAATTGTTTAACGTTTAATTGCGACAGTGGTCAGTACGTTATTATAATGCCGGCTAGAATTTTTTACTTTTTTCTTTTTCACCTTATCTGACGTATGTTTCAAGAAAATAAAATATGATTCCATTAATATTATTGTTGTTGTTGTTATTGTTTTTAAATGTGCAGCATTGCAATAGACGTGTTGTCGATATTTTTATACAAAATGAAATCAGTGATGAACTATTCGAACTATAGATATATATAGTATATCTTTTATCAACTCTATTGAATTAGAACTATCAGACGTTTCCTCACAATAGAGTCAACAAAAACACTTGTTCACGGCTTCGTCTATAGTAGAATTGATTTTTCAAACTCAATAGTGTATGGAGTAAACTTATTCCTACAGGACTGTGTTTAATCGGTGTTAAACGCTGAAGCAAGAATGCTTGCTGGCGTCTCGAAATCTTCACTCCACCTCAAAATACATGCATGACGATTTGCATTGGCTACTGTTTCCGGTGAGGATTAAATTTAAAATGGCATTGTTAGTCAGAGATTTTATGAATGGTAAGGCTCCGCTTCATCTGAGTAAACAACTGGCGCCGGTGTCGGGAATTTAAGGACGCAGTCATTTGAGGTCATTGGGCTATGAAAACTTGGTCAATCTGGTATTCCAATCGACAAATTTCGGAAGGCGAAGATTTGCAGTAGTTGCAGTTGAAGTTTGAAACTCACTTCCTGTACAGCTGGAAACTGGTTCCAACACTGTTCAAAAAAATGTTGAAGCCTCTGTTCAAAAGAATGTAGAAGCATCATTATTTCAATGATGTGCTATTTCAATTATATTGAGTAATTGAGTTGTGTTATCTTCTTCTCGGTTCCAGAGTCCTTATGCGTGGACGATGGGAAAATCCGCTCTTATAAATTTCTAGAACGAGTTACAGTTATAAAAGTGGTTTTCATAATTGTAGACATATTTATCTATCATTTCTTTGTTATTGTTTACCGGAATTTTCCAGGATAGCCGCTTTTACACCGAAATGTTTTTACGGAAAATGGAAAGGTTTGTAGTCGTTTTTGTCTTTTTTAAAAAATATTGCAGCTTAAAATATTGTATTATATTGTGTAATAATAATTTTTAAATAGATTAGTTTAGATATGTTATATGTCACGACAAATTTTCTACTTCAGATTTTTCTTAGTGACCATGTGTGTGGACATTGGGATTATTGAACGTGCTGCATGCGTACATTTCCAATGCTAAACTAATGTCACTTATTTTTGTGGATAAATTTGAGTTCTATTTGGCTTATCTATATTTTTTCACTTACAGACACGTGTCCTGATACTTTGGATGAATCAGAAATCGAAGATTTATCTGATGGCAATCTGATGGCCGGGGCAAGAGATTGAATCAGATGATTCTGATGACACTGACTCTGATAAAGAAAATGACAGTGATGATGACAATGGAAAAAGTGTCTATTTTAATTTATTCAAAGTTACATTAATGAGAACTTTTAAATTCAATCTCTCATTGCATGAACGTCACATCTGTGAGCAAAACTGATAACAACTTAAAGACAACACCATTTGAAATTTGTCAATTTTTGGGCGTGTTTGTGATGATGTCATGCATTGGTTATCCTCAAATGAATATGTACTGGTCGTTATTGCTGACACCATATCAAGAAACCGCTTTTTTAAGCTACGTACTATTTTAAAAATGGTGGTTGGCAATGACGTCACAGAGGAAAAAAAAGGATGAATTTTGGAAGATAAGGGCGTTAATTGAGCATATCCAGCAAAAGTGCTTACAGTTGCCAAGATTTAAAAAAGTGGCAGTAGACGAACAAATGGCTCCATTTGCTGGTGCTGCTCCTGCCAATCAATACCAATATCAAACAAACCGAACCCAGTAGGTATGAAAAACTTTGTTGTGTCAACTACTGACGGCTTAGTTCTAGATTTTTTTTTGTATCAAGTACAACACCGGTATGATAATGAGAAATTATATATATATATTATATATATATATATATATATATATATATATATATATATATATATAACACCCAACCATCCAATATATCAGCGTAATTCAGCTGATAACTTCCATCCTGGTGATTAACAACAAGTCCAACAAATCAGCAGATGTTCAATTGAGAAGTTTGTTTATAACTGTTATTTAAGTAAAATTTCATCGCTTTTTTAAAATTGTTATAAACTTGACAGTTATGTAAAATATAGCAACATCTCTTCTAAAATTTTCTAGGTATTCCGGATATTTATAGATATAGTTATTTATAGAATAGTTCATAACGGGGAATATGATATGTTATCTATGAAATTTTGTACATCCGTGAGTTGTTCACAACTGTGGCCCTCACCTGTTGTCTTTTTCATAATATCTGCAATTAACCATAACAACGATGTATACAACGCATTCAACGCTTCCTGCCTCTAGCTTCGACTGACGTATTTTGAAATTATTAAATTTAACGCAATAATTTATCTAAAACAGTTTCATTTTAAAGGAGTTGCATAACTTTGAAGCATAATAATATCTGAACTGTTCATTTATTAGTTATCAGTTTCTTTTTCTCAGTAATAATACTTAAAAAAATTGTGAAAAATTTCATAATAGGATATACGTACGTTATGCTTAAAATTATCATTATAATTAGCACATCATACGTAATAATAATAATAATAACGATATTAATGGTAATAGGTCTTACAACAATTGATTTTATTATCTTAATTTATTGTGGTTTCGTTTAAATGTAAAAATGTAAACAGTAGATGAATAAATAATTAAACCTATTGATACGAAATTAAATGAGTCAAAATCATGGATATATATATATATAAACTACAGAAATGTCTTATTTTCACAATCGATTTTTTAAGCATTAAAAATCGGCAAACAAACGTTGACTTTGTTAAAATCATGCCTGATAAAATTTTAATTGCTCTTTAAAGGTTGATGATGTTATCAATGATGAATTATCAGTGTGTAATCTTTTCAATAAACATTTTTCATCTTTGCGTAATTTAACTTGTTCTTGTATAACATCACATCATTTTGCAACTATAATAAATATTTGATTCTACATATCTCCAATTCATTGTCATGTTTGATTGTACTATTTTTGATATAATGGATGTCGCATGGGATAGTAAGAACTCATTTAAGTGTAAATAATTTATAGAAATCGGAAAATCTGATCTGGGAAAGAAATGTTTTATTTCTGGCCAGAATATGACAAATACGTAAACAGTGATTTAGTTGAAGAAGTGAAATGTTTTAAGTCAATTTATTCAGATAGCATACAAAAGAGAAAACCTTCACCCAATAAAGTTGAAGTTAGAATCTATATTTCCAAATATTTCTATTGCATTACGGATCTTTTGTACAATTCCTGTAACAGTTGCAGAAGAAACTGAAAGAACATTCAGCAAGTTAAATCGAATAAAATATGTGCAGCGGCCAAATATGAAGCAAGACCCTTTGAACGGTCTTGAAGTCTGGCGATTCAACATTGGCAAAGTTATTAAATTTTAATGACGTTATAAACAATTTTGTTTAATCCAAACCAAGGTGTTCGTTTTCAAAAACAATACATTCAAATTTGTTACATCTGTTCAATTAAACGGTTTTATACTTTAATTTAAAATTAAACATAATTTTTTTTTAAATAACAACTGAATAAATGATGTAAAGGTCTAACCTATCTTCTGAACTTTAAGTACTAAGTACAAATTGTATATGCATACGATCTGTGAATTTCTTTAATTTTCATAATTTTTTAACTAATATTTAAATATTTTTATTATTATTATTTTTATATTTCGTTTGAAATATTTTTATTTTTCTTGTAGATAATTATTTTTTTAGACTTATTTTTTAATCGTAGACATGGCCTTCGTTTTTCAGTTTTGACCATAATCGATAATAAAAAAAAATCCTAATAAAGTTATGTTAATAAATATAGACATAAACAGTAATAATAAAATAGCGATAAAAAAAATTTAAATGAAATAGATGGAATATGTTTGTGCAGTTTGTGCAGTTTAACGGCGTTTCAGCACAACTGGCTATCTTTACGCCCCTTGTTCCTTTTCTATAAATGCGTTTTGTTGTTTTAAAACTTTTGAGAAATTATTTTTAAATTCTATTAAAAATTTGTATTTCCTGAAGGAATGATATTAGATTATTGATTTTATCTCTGGAAAAAATTTTTTCTACTTCTGAAGGGATGGCATGTCGTTTCCTACTATTATTGTGACTATTACATTTGACCAAAATGTGATGGATAGTTAGTTTTTCGTTACAAGAGTTGCATGTAGGCGAATTTGTTTTGTTGAGAATCCAGGAATGAGTCAAACTTGATGGCCTATTTTTAATCTGTTGATAATTGTCTGAGGTTTACGTTTTAAACCTTTAAATTCATTTTTTTGGCTGAGAAATGGTGTGGATAATTTAAGAAAGTTTGATGTTTGGTTCCATTCAAGTTGCCATTTCTCCATTGAAACCTTTTTTGTCCAAAATCTTAAATCATTGTGTGAATGGATTTAAGATGATTATATGGAATATAATAATGAAGATGAACCAAATGTTAGTGAAGATATTGATAGGACTGAAAATTATTTTCCCATATAATTATATTAATGGTAATAATATCTACTAAAATAAAATGGCATACATATACAATTTCAAAATCGGTATTATAACATTCTAAAATTTTCTTAAATAAAAAAATAAACCAGCGCTAAGAAAGACATCATCATGTCAGAACATCAATTTTTCCATCTTCATCATTATCTTCGTCATCCTAATCATGAATTTTCATTGTTTTTTCATTATCATCTTCTCCTTTCATATCTGTTGTTTCATCGTTAGATGACGTAAGCCAGTCATTTACTGCTCACACTGGAATGACTGAACTTGACATGCCTCTGGAGATCTCTCCGTCGAACGAACAGCTTGCCACACTCCTCAGCGTGCAGTCGCGTGTGTTTGTTCAGATTGCTTGGGTCGCTAACGCTCGTCCACAAAAGCGACACTTTAACGGGTTGAAGCGCGTGTGCGTTTTTATTTGAATCGTTAAACCGTACTTTCTTGAAAAAAATTGTACCGCAGTGAGTGCATTTGAAGACTTGTGCTGTTTTTCGAAGGTCGTCGTTCATAGAGATGTTTTGTAGTTGAATTGTTAGGTTTTTGGTGTTTCACATACAAATATGCTTTCAGTTGGTTTGGAAATTCTCAACATTTTCCGCAAACATGGCATCTGTAACCGTTGCCATTGTTGTGGTATGGAGGAATGAAACTGATGTTCAGGAAGATGGTTACGTCTGCGGAGAACCAAGCTTTTAAAGCCTCGCCTTTTTGAATTTTTTGAATTTTCTGAAAAATGAAAATTATTGTGTTGTTGTTGGAAAAAATGATGAGAATATTCTGGTTGAAGACGTCTGTAGCAGGAGGAATATATAGAATATATATATACCCTATAATCTCAACAAGAAGATGCAAAACTGAGAAGAAAGATAAAAAGAAGCATGGTTCATCATTTATAACGGTAACAAAAATTAAATAAAAAATGTTTCACACGAAATTTTTATTTACAGTCTAATTGGTTCAAACCAGACTATTTGGTAAAAAAAGATGACATTGATGCAAAGATTTAAAAGCAGCCTACTAGTCAAAAAATTATTTATATTAGGGGCCACACAGGACTTCATATCTGAGTCGCCAAAACCTTACTAGTGCTGTTGCGCTAATTTTTAATTAACTTATTTGAAGCTAAGACAATTTTTAAAAAGATTACACCAAAGTAATATTTATGTTTTGTAAATCAGTTTTTTAAAAGTTGTTAATTTTTTCAGTTCAGATTTTCAATTAGTTATACATTTTTTTTATAATTTATTTCAAAAATTGAATTTCAAAAAAAAGAAAAAGGAAAAAAGAAAAAAAAAGAAAGAAAAAATAGAATCAACAGGAACCAAAGGCGCAAAGATAGCCTATCAGAGCTGAGGCGCCGTAAAACTGCAGAAGAAGGAGAAGAAAGAGAATTTTAAAAAAGCACGAACACATAATATAACGAATGTTTAATTTTCAAAAACTTTAAGAATTTTTGTTCACGAGTATCATCTAATTACGTTGGAAATTTTTTAAAGTATAAATGATAGAAAAATATAATTTTGGAGTTTCCAACTAAATTGTTTTAAACGAGCAAGATTATTGTTTGACATTTTACAATCGTTATTAAATTATTGAAATTCAAGTAATGATTTTTTTGGTTAACAAACTTTGATTGACCGATTTTTATTGGTTCCTTGAGACTGTGTTCAGTTTATACACTTTTAATGTTGGCTAATGACTATTTTTTAATTATTATTTTTTGTATCTATCATTTAAATATTTTATTATTATTATCTTTTGTTGGAAATATTGAAATATTACTATTTTTCTTGTTGTCTAATTATTTTTTCAGACTTATTTTTTATTCGCTGGCGTGGCCCTCGTTTTTCAGTTTCGACCAAAATCGATAAAAAGGTTATATTGATGAATAAAAACAATAATAATAATAATAAAAGAATATCAATATAAGGAAAAATTGAAATGAAAAAATTGAATATGATGATGAAGATGAACCCAATGTTAATGATGATAATGATAATGGAAATTATCTTTCCATGTAATTATATTAATGGTAATAATATCAACTAAAATAAAATGATATACATATACAACTTTATAATCAATATTATACTATACTAAAATTTTCTTAAATAAAAAAAACAATCAGCGCTAAGACATCATCAACATCATGTCAGAACATCAATTTCTCCATCTTCATCATTCACATCATCAATTTTCATCATTTTTTCATTATCATCTTCTCCTTTCACTTCAGTTGGTTCCTCGCTGGATGACGTAAGCCAGTCATTGTCGAAAGAGTCAGCAGGAGTAGCAGCAGTAGTAGTAGCGGTTTTACTGGTAACATTGGAATGTTTGGACTTGACATGCCTCTGGAGATCTCTCCGTCGAACGAACAGCTTGCCACACTCTTCGCATGTGTACGGAGCCCTCATCTCAGCGTGCAGTCGCGTGTGTTTGTTGAGATTGCTTGGATCGCTGAATGCTCGTCCACAAAAGCGACACTTTAACGGTTTGAAGCCCGTGTGCGTTCGCATGTGAATCTTTAAACCATATTTTCGTAGAAAAACTTTACCGCAGTGAGTGCATTTGAAACCTTTGGCTGTTTTTGGAAGGTCGTCGTTCATAGGGATGTTTTTTATTTTAGTTGAATTGTTTGGTTGTTGGTGTTTAACAAACAAATGTGCTTTCAGTTGATTTGGATATTCCCAGCACTTTCCGCAAAACAGGCATCTGTTTCCCGTGCCAATTGTTGTTGTGGTTTGGAAGAATGAAACAGATGTTCAGGAAGATGGCTACGTCTGCGGAGAACCAAGCTCTTAACGCCTCGCCTTTCTGAATGAATCTTCTGCTTCTCATTAACATCATTAAGTTTTTGTTGCTGCCGGAGAAGATGATGAGAATATTCTGGTTGAAAAAGTCTGTAGCAGGAGGAATATAGTGGAATGGTTTTGGTTTCGACCGTTCATCTCTTTTATGATTGGCTGGATTCCCACCAATGAGACAAGAGGTGCTGAAAGAAAAGTTATTTTTATCTCTTCTTGTTACATCATAATCATCACTATTATTGTCATCATCATCATTTTCCTCCTCCTCCCAATACCTCATCATATCTTCCACCAATTTAAATTCTCCAACGATGACATCAGCATTGATGTCACGTGTTGCTACTGCATCATGGCGACCGTTGTTTATTCTGATGATTTCGTACATGGTTGGCTGTTGATGTTGTTGCGGCAACCAAGGTAGCAGGAAGTTGTTGTTGTTGCTGTTGTTGTTGCTGCTTATCATTTTGTATTGCAAATGTAGTTGCTGCTGTTAAACAATTATAAACTATTTTGTTGTTGTCGTTTGCTTTTGATGATATTGTATTTGGTGTTGTTGAATGATGGTGCAGTTGTTGTTGATCGTGTTGATGTTGTTGTTATCGATTGTATTGTTATTGTTGACTGCAGTCGCAAATCAAATCCAAACTGAATCAGATAAAATGAACTTTTGAGATCGATAACACATTTGAGATATATTTATACTCCTCCTCATTGTTCGTGTTATAATTTCTAAATATTCAATGTTCTTTCAAAAAATATTTATTACAAAACATTTTTATTATTTTTATTATTTGTTATAGATTTTGTTATTGAATAGATCTAAATTCAAACTTCGTGATTTTATTGGTTCACCGCCTTTGATCGCTTGATTTTTATTGGCTCCTTGTTCTTTGAGCGACTTGGCACACTCCTCAATATTGACCAATAAAGTTTTATTAATAGTTTATTTATGTTTATAATTATGACAATATTATTAATTAATATCTTGATTGTTTTTATTTTTTCGGCTGCTGTCAATAAAGCAGATGAGACATTTCTTGAAATCCAAAATTTAAAATGTATGTTTGCAGTTCTATTTTGAGTGTTTCTGAAAATTCTATTAAGTTGTAATTGCCTTACCCGAGGTAAAAATGATATTTCTGGCGGAAAACTTCACTATTCCAATTTTCATTAAAGCTTCCATTAAGTTGTAGATTTCCACAGCTGCTTGAGTTCAATTTTACCAACGATTCTTGACAAAAAGCTTCACTGACATTCACATTTAAAAATTTGCCGTAATGTTTTACAAATAATTCTTCTCCTTCGTCTGCATTTTACGGCGCTTCAGCTCTGATAGGCTATTTTTACGCCTTTGGCTCCTGTTGATTCTTTTTTTTCTTTTTTTTTCTTTTTTCTTCTTCCCTTTTTTTTCTCTTTTCTTTTTTTCTTTTGCAAATCACTTTTGAACAGTGGGGAAATTAGATTTTGTTGAAAATGTTTATTTCTTTGATAAATGATATTAGGTTTTTTATATTTTCATCTTTAAAAATTGAGTGGATATCTTATGGTATTTGATGTTTATTTCTGGATTCAAGTCTGACATTCTATTAATATGTGTTGAATTGTTAGTTTTGCATCACAGTTCTTACAAAGTGGAGGGCTTGTTTTGTTCAGAATCCATGAATGGATTAATTTTTAATGACCGATTTTTAGTCTGTTTACGATGTTTAAAACATTTCGACTTAGCTCGTTGATTTTGATGTTTTTGAATTTATTTAATTCTGGCATTACTATTTTGAAAAAATTATTTATCTTGTTCCATTCCTCTTGCCATTTTTCAGACACAAGGTCGTTTTTCATCACTCTTATGTCATGATATGGCATTGGAATGATTGATGGAGGATCTGAGTGAGCTTGTGATGCCAATTGATCCCCTCTTTCGTTTCCTTCGATTCCAATGTGGCTAGGGATCCATATTAATGTATTATTAATTTTATTACTTAGTATGTCGTGTATTTTGTTTTGCATCTGAAAAATTAACTGATGCCGAGGTTTTTACTGTTTTAATGCTACGAGAGTTGATAGCGAATCAGTGAAAATTTTATAGTTTTTTCCTGTTGAATTATATATGGAGGTTAATGCCATGTCTATAGCAGTTATTTCTGCTGTGTATATTGAAGTGTAGTTTGGAAGATGATGAGTAAGGCTGTTGGTATATTGAAATTGCTGTTGGAATATCACTGCTGCTGTTGTTGAATTTTCTTTTTTCGAGCCATCAGTGAATATTTTAATAGTATTTTCGTTATTGTCAATTTTTTCTCTGAATAATATTTTTGCTACTTCTTAGTCTTTGCTTGCTCTTGTTGTTGTATCAATTTCAGCACAAAACATCGGCCATGGAGGGGTTTTGTGAGTTACCTCCCTTAGAATTTTTATTTTATCTATTTTTTTGGTCTTGTAACAATTGTAGAAATAAATTTTGCTTTTGTTGATTGATTTTTGGCCATTATGTAATTGTAAGCAGCATTTTCTGTTTGAGATTTAAGTTTTAGGTAATAATTTATTGCTAAGTTTTGATGTCTAAAGTTTAGCGGCATCTCTCCTGCTAAGATAAGAAGGCTGTTTGATGGAGATGTTTTGAATTCTTCTAAGCATCTTCTTAGAGCTTCGTTGACTATTGGTTTGAAGATTTTCATATATGATTCTCTGGTTCCACCATATACTGGGCCGCCATAATCTAATATTGATCTTACTGTTGCTCGGTAGATTGTCATCAAATGTTTCTGGTGTGCACCACATGTGTAGTGAGACAATACTTTAATTAATAATTCAAATTGAATTATTAATTGAATTGAATTAAAAAACTGAACGACAAATAATTTAAGCACTCGATTTGTCAGGGTGGATTTTTTATGAATTTGATATCTTTAAAGTCATGCTCCATAATACTTATTTTTGTTAACAATCATCATTATTTAGTTTTAAGCTACTTTTAGTACATTGTTTTTCAGAATTCGTGGCTTTGTCGAAATGTTGCATAATACTTTTTTAATAACAAGAAGCTTTTTAAAACTTAATTTTTTATTATGAATACTATCCATATCCAAATTATTTTATGATACTCAAAACAAATCAGAAAACAATTTTTTTATAGTTTCTCAACCTCAAAGCTGGCCAAACCAAAAATATACTTTCAAATGTTATGTGATTGCTAGATATGTGTGGATTTCGTAAAATTGAATATTGAAAAAATTATATACAACTGTGTAGTATGTTAGTGATAATATGTGCTAACGGATTCGTTATTTTAATTTCTATTTATAAATCAATGATATGGACTCACCAATTATGCTACAGTATTTTATACTCGCAACATCTAAAAATATTTTAATGGAATTGTTTTGAATCAAAACTATTCTCTCAACAAAATTTGGAAATAAGTTTACTTTTTTAAGTTTCAGCATTTTCAAAAGGGTGTACCGTTATATCAATCCATCCCACTAAACTGAAGATGGTTTCGTTCAACTTTTAATATATTAGGTTGGTGCAAATATAATGTCGGTTTTATGTTAATAAATTTTTCATAACTAAATTTTTAAATACAATTTATTGAATATATTGATCATTATATATCATTTTGAAGGTTATTTATTCTTCTATCTAGCCTTTATTAATTAATTGGTCCAACTATTCAGTGTCTTTGATTTTGAGCGATATTTGGGAATGTTGTCTAAGCGTGATTTTTGGATTATTTTGCTTCATGAGTTTAAACTCGGGCATAATGCGGCAGAGGCAACTCATAATATTTTGGAAGCATGGGGCGACGTCGGTGCTTCTGAGCGTACCACACAAAGATGGTTTAAAAAATTTCGTTTCCGCAATATTTTTTTGCAATTTATTATTTAAAATATTTATTAAAGTCACTAGTGATGCGATCCTTTTTATGATTTATTGATATTGTAATTTTAAAAATGCAGTGCAACCCAATAAAACTATAAAAAATTATTCTTTGTGAAAAATTTTTCTTTGTGTGGATAGTGAAGTTTTTTTTGAATTTTTGACAGCTCACATGTCGATAGCATTAAATTAATATTAGGCTTTTCAACTGAATGACAGTGGAGAAGGACCTGTGCCCCATCAATTACGGCACGCACATAATAATAATAATACAACATGTGATGATATGTTACTAACTTTTAAATGTCATTACAGCAGCCAAAAAGAAGTTATGATAACATCGTCAAAATCTATTCACTAAAATAGTTTGCTACATTTCAAAATTACTAAACTAATGAGCATTAACAATAATAATATTTCAAATTTCATCAAACAGTGTTTAAATTCAATGTGATTAAATGATGTTTATGATCAAGTCATTCATTCATATGTACTATTTAGAGGCACCAGAAACACGCACTTAGCATAAATGAACGTGTATAAAACAACACACAAATTTTACACATTACGTAGAAATCTCTGCAGTCAAACCTAGCACGACTAGACAATTCAACTATATTCAACAATGTTTCGTCATCACGCCACCTGTTAACTTTTGCCAATGTATATTTTACCATCTATTTGCACCTTAGTTTGTTGTTGAATAACATTCTATTTAAATTACGTGATGTCAATTTCTAAATTTTGTTGTTTTTGTCATTCTTCTCATTTAAACAAATTGTAACTTATTGATCAGGAATTGAGAGATGTTCACGTGTTGTTCTTTATAAGAACCTGGATAAAATGTATGTTTGTGATGATAAGCGTATGTTCATTCTTTTTGAATGTGTGTACTTGTGTTTCGATGTGTGTGTGTGTGTGTGTGTGTGTGTGTGTGTGTGTGTCGGTGTGTTGATGGTATACTGGAATGTTTGTGATCGTTCGTAGTACTCTGAGGTTTATCATGTGAAATAACTAGGTGTGTCTAACTAGAACGATTTGTTCTTTTAGATTAATTTTTTATTTTGCCTAGTATTCATTTTTCATTATTTTCCAATGTAATTATTTTAAAATTTACAGACTTGTGTTTCTGCTTTGGTTGGCGGATTTCTGAGGAAGATGTGGATGGGTGAGTACAAGAGATTGATGGTTGTCATCATCCACATCAGTCTGTTGGTGGCGATGATTACAATGGTGATTATGATGATTTGGGGACAATATTGTCAAAAATAGCAATGATGATATCAGAGCGTCAGAGTATGATAAAAAAAAACGATCCCGACTCTTGTTCCTCAAAAATTTCGACTACAGGTAAATATTTTCGACTTTGATTCACGACTTCGATTCCGGGTTCGAGTCCAAGAAAACTTTTTAAACTGTTGCATTATAATTTTACTTAAATATCACTACTTAATTTAAAATGATTTAAAAAAACATTCAAAATCAGTCAAGGTAACTGTTTTTTTTTACTAAAAATAACTTTGTATTTAGGCTAAAAAAAATTAAAATTTACCGAAAGAAAATTATATGATTTTATTTACATTATTAACATTTATTTTCAGTTTTAAAGATTATTGCATGTTGCTCTGCATATTCATCTTAAAAAACACTCCGATTCCTTAAAAAGTTCGACTACGACTTCGACTCCAGCTAAAATCTCCGACTTTGACCAACTCTGACACTCTGGTTATTTTAACAGAAACGTTTTTTTAAGATTTCAAAAAGAATGAAGATAAAAGAGCCATTAAAACAATTATTAATTAAACATTAAGTTGCTGTCATCCACATTTCAATCATATAATTAACAATTACAACTATAAGCCCATAAAAAGAACATTATTTAAACAAGGTAAACTTCAATTATTTTTCAATCAATTTGTCTTGAAAAGTAAATTTTAATTAAATTTTCAAAATCATCCTACCCTCTGAACCCAATTAACTTCATTACTAGTCCACTGAATGACGGCCCTGTTAATTTATATTAGAGCAAACATGTCAATGAGTTTGTATCTATGATAAAAATCCACTTCTCTTTATTCATCAACGCGTCAACGTATCATATAATCATTCAATCACAGTCCAACAAAAGACATTCGCAACCATGGATACATATGATAAGGATAAGGCAGACCCGTTTTGTATATATATACATTGCTCATATATATCAAAGTCAATCTAACAAATTTGTTACATAGTAAGATATATTTGTTGAAATGTGAATTTAAGTTAAAGTAAACAATAAGTTTTTAACCGGTTGTTTAGCGACTATCGACCTAGTTGTTTTTTTGTCAATTTATTTACATTTAATTAAAAAAATGTCTAAAGTTTAACAATAAAATATGATAGTAAGTCGTTTGATTGTAATTATTTACAATTAATTACTACGAAAAAATGTTTAATGTTTACGCGTTTAATTCCATAGAACCAAAAAAATTATTAGGCAGGTAATAATTTTTACGCCATATCCATTATAATATATCAATGTTCGCAACCGACTAACTAACCAATCGCAAACGCCAAACAAAACGCCGCGTCGGCAATGGCATAGACACTTCCATATATAGGCACGTGACGTATGTCGACCAGGTGAGCCATCATTGGAATCATTGAGGAATGCATCATGCCTGTTTTGTTAGTTGTGGTTAATTCGTTTTTATACTGACTATCGTTTTGAACTTCATCATTTTTTAAACTCCATGCTTGAAAGTTAAACTGTTTTGGTAATTTAGCTATTGGTTGTAATTGTGGAATAGTAACTTAGTCTACCTTATATACAAATTTTTTTTCATTGCAAATATCAACAGTATATTTCGATGATAGCTATGAACAGATATAATTAATTGCCATATTTTGAAACTCACCGATTGCAAATCCAAGTGCAGCGATTGGAACTATTAAATGTTCTAATTGTGTTGCAAATGGAATCTGTGAAAAAATTTGAATGCACTCTATCAAGTGAATCGTCACTGTATTATTTTTATTTGTTTCTTTTTTCAGGTTAAACTAATCACTCCATTTAAAAATGTTTGGGCAGTATGAAAGAGACCAGTAAGTTATTTATTATTAAGTGCATTATTGTAAAAACAAGTTACTCACGAAAAATAAGGACACACCGATGATGATTGATCCGATCATTGCACTCAACCATCTGAATATCAATTATTATTAATATTAATATTTCAACAAAAATATTACAGTTTTCCAAATAATATTAAACTAGCCATTACGTCACATTGTGCATTACCAATAACTCTGCAAGCTTTTTAATAACTGGTTTTATCATGTTTCATGAAAATTTGTTTTTCAAACAGTTTACAAAATATTGTAACAAACCAATTTATCTATTTTCAACAAATAAGAATAATTTCATTTCAATCATTTAATTACACATTTGTAACCAAAATTTTTTTTATTTTGGTGAAAACATTTTTGTAACAACTTTGTAACCTTCCGATTTTATGAGCCAGTGCTCCGAAAAAGTAAGTGCCGATAAGGTAGGATAAACTTCCGGGTAGGAAAGCAATTCCTTGCTGCCAATTTGATGATCCCATAACTTGGATCATATGCAATGGCAAGGTGGGTTCAAGCATGCCAAATCCCATGCTACCAATGAACATTGATACTGTAAAAATATATGGAATGGTGTTTGAACTTCAGATTGATCGATGATAAATAATCAACCATTTTCAGGTTAAACTGATTCGATGTTATAAATTGTTTAGACATTAAATGAATACTTTAAGATTTTTGCATTTTTCTCATCCTATTTAGGGTTTCCATAACATCTCTTAAAAAGAAGACATGTCCTCTTTTTACATTGAATTTTTTTTACTCTTTTTTTTGCCAAGGTTCTCTTTTATCCTCTTTTTTAATGTTTTCCAGAATATTATAAATTTTTAAATTAAAGGTTTCTATTTGTAAAAATTTAATCTGAAAAATGTCCGAAATCTAAAAATTAAAATTGTATTATGAAATTGTACAGCTTTGTACTCACGTTGAACTCAAAATTTGTACTCACGTTGCCGCTTCTTCAAAAGAAGCGGCAACGTGAGTACAAATTTTGAGTTTGTTTCTGTAGAGTTTTCGTCGACGCCGTGAAGGATGCCGCGGTGTTTGCCGACCTCGATAAAAAGTTCAATCTGCCCTTTGATTGGTATTTTTGTGTCGTTGGCTGCTTTCAGGGATTTTGTTAATAAATAAAAATCTTTCCGTATTATTTTCGTTGTTATTTTGTTTACTACCCTTATTACTAGTGTTATTATTGTTGTGACTATTATTATTTAAAATCTATAGTTTAATTAACTTAATGGGATGTGCCGTCGAATAGTGAACTTCGATTGAACTTCTTTAGATGATGATGCACTTCGGACAAACTTCTTTGGACAACGATGCGCTTCGAATGCACTTTGAATGAACTTCTTCGGACGATGATGCACTTCAAACAAACTTCTTTGGATGATGATGCGCTTTGAATGAATTTCTTCAGATGACGATGCGCTTCGGATAAACTTTTTCGGAAGTCGATACACTTCAAACGAACTTCTTCGGATGATGACGTACTTCCCTCACAAAGTCGAGGGCCTCCTCGTCTCCGTAGACCTGAATATCTGAATGATTCAATAAACAAACGCCAGAATGAATTTTTTTTTGTCTCCCCCCTTTGTTGGAGTATATATAGCCTTTGCCTTCTTCATTTCTTCATACATTTGATTATGACATACAATTTATATCGGAAGATATCGAAACGTTCATCGGCGAACAAATACGGCACCAAATGTATAAACTGGCGCCTCTTGTGTGAGCTCATCATTTCCATACATCGCGAATGCGCCTGCCTTTATTTGTCATACATACTGTAACACTCGATTGAAAGTAGGTTACAGTGAACAAAAGTTTAAGCTGTTTGCATCATGTCTTTGTTCTCTATTGGAAACTGTACCAAAGTTTAGGCGTGCTCGATCACTATTGATTGTTGCCCATATACAGACTCCACAAAGCCTGTAAAAGTGTGTCACGGGATAAAAATAGTTCAGCAGCACAGTGTGCGCATAACGTACGCGCCTGTCTTTGTTCATCAACTATAACCGGGCCAAAGTTTAACCGTGCTTGGTTACTGTTATCATCAGATTTTACATTTCTATAGAGATTTTTGAAAAAATTCTATAATTTTAATTTTATTCATTATTTGTTGCATGTTTGCTTTTTGATAAAGCTAGTTTATTTTAGTTCAAATTTAACGAGAACAATTTTAATATTTTTTGTTTATATTAACTTTTAAAATGCTAAAATGAAAATGTATTTTTAATGAAGAACTTAAAAATAAATATAAATTTATGAAGATAAATAACCAAAATTATTTATCGGACGTGCTATGTACAGTATGTAACTCAAAGGTTATACTAGCTAACAAAGGAAAATTTGATATTGAACAGCATTTAGTACCATGAATAAAAATATAAATCGATAATAATAACTCAACGTTATTTAATTATTATTATTAAGTATATTAATCAAAATAACAGAGTATTTAATTCAATTTTTAATTTGTATGTATATAATAACATTTACTGAAAAAAATTGTTTTTTAAAAAATTGTTTTCTTTGTCCTCTTTTTTTGTCAAAAATCTACTTTTCTTTAGTCCGTTGTCCTCTTTTTCTAATTTACGATCAATCAATCAATCAATCAATTAGCTTATAAAGCGCTATTTCCGCGATGTTCAACAGCGCTCCACAATGAATTTTGAAAACAGATGGGTCTTGAGATATGCTCTGAACTTCGCAAGTGATGGAGAAGTAGTCAAAGAAGTAGGTAGAGAGTTCCAGAGAAAAAGACCAGAAAAAGCAAAACGTTCATGTTAAACGTTGGCTATTTTTGGTATATTAAAAAGATATCGTATGTAACCCAAAACTTCGAAGTATGTATTTAATGGTTTAGAGGTGAGTGAGTATTGAAATTTTGTGCTATTTTCTTTCAGACTTTTATGATTATTCCCATTACTTATCGGTATCTCTATTTATTACAACGTTTGTAAGAATTCACATTCATTTTCGATCTTTTCTACAATTTTCCTTCCGTTTATTTTAACATCATTCTTGCGTCTCTTTTGCAATTTTTTCCATTTTCTGTTAATTTTAGTTCATATAATTAAGAAAAAAGAAATTGTTCAAATATACATTTAATGAAAATAAATAATAAAAATGCAAACGTTATGACATTAATTGAAATTAAATTTCAATTTAATAATAACATAATAAATACTTGATTTTCAAAATTGTATAAATAAGATGGTCATGTTGTGTTAGGACAATTCTATTTTATAAATTCGCTTTTTTTTGCCCCGATTTCCGTGAAATGATTTCCCATTTTGTAAAATTTCCATAACCAAAAATTTTCCCTGAAATATCTGTATATGAACCATCGAAATCTCAAAATTCCCGTTTCTAACTATATTAAAAGCGGTTCCTTCGCTGCTTCTGTTTTCGAATACTCTATTTTTTATTTTTAAGGTTTTTTCAGATTTTTTAATTGTTAATATGAATTAAAACAGATTTTACAGCTCATGTAGCTGTGAAATGGATTGCTGAAAATACTCAACAAAAGGCATTACATAATAAAGTCTGAATGATTTATTAATCAGCTGACTAAATCATTCATTCAATCAATTAAAAATACATTTTATCAGACAACTAGCCAACCAACCAGCAGCGATGATTATGTATGGATCAGTCAACAGCTCCTTCAATGAACTTCCCTTCTTATCCTCTTGTTTCATTTTCGGTTGCATCACGAACAATACCATGACTTGTGATAACAAACATCAATATTATTTTAAGCAATACAATTGAATTATAATTTGTATTATCTCCACCATTGCCAGCACAATCATTCACATCTTCGTCATAAACTTTCATCACCATAATAATCATCACCTCCAGCTACAAATGCAACAGCAGCCAGGATGATGAATGGTGTTTCCTTGCCACAAAACTCATACAAGACTCCTCCACACGTGGGACCAACTGAGGTGGTGATGATGATTATGGTAACGACAATGGTAGTGATGAGGATGATGATTAAAAACATGGTGACGACAACGTTCACAAGAATATTTAACACATTGTAGATAATTTAATTTAAAATAATATTTATTCGACATAACAAATATAACATCAAATTTACTTGCAAATGTTTAATTTTCTGAAAGAGAACTGTTTAAAAATTATATGTAAATCTTTAATATATATATATATATATATATATATAATATATATATAAATATATATTTTTTTTTTTGATAACAGACTGTTGTTAACGCAACATTTCAAAAATTCAACACTACTTTCAACATTGTTCAACTTTTTATATTTCTTTTTAATTTATTAATTTCAGAGAAATTAGACATATTATTGTTTTTTAAAAAGATAAGAAGGAACAAGTAATTATTAATTTATATAAATTATTCAATTAAAACAGAAAACCAATAAAATAAATTTAATAACTATAAACAATATAAAACGCGATTTTTAAAATTTTAAGGGCAAGATTGTTTATATTAAGTTGTTAAGGTAAATATCAACGCTCAGCCGAGAAGCGCAAATTAATTTATTTAATTAACTACATATTATTAATATTATTTTTACAATATTTAAAAACGTTATTATTATTATTATTATTATTGTTAACGTTATTATCATTATTATCATCGCTGTGGTTCTTCTTGCTTTTTGTGATGATGTTCCATTTGCAAGTGATATTTGTGCTGTGGGTTGTGGCGTTGGTATCTACAGTGTTGGCACTGTTGTTGTTGTTGTTATTGTTGATGATGTGGTTGTTGTTGTTGATGTTGGTGTTGTTGATGTTGTTGTTAGGGTTGTCACTATTGATGATGTTCCAATTGCAGCTAATATTTGCGCTGGGGGTTGTAGCATTGGTATCTACAGTGTTGGCACAGTG